CCCCCCCCCCCCCCCCCCCCCCCCGTGCCCGACTGTGTGTCCCCTGGCGGGCGTGCCCATAGAGATGACGCCATCTGCCCGGCTGCGCGCGTCCATCCTCGAATCGCCCAATGCCATGGAGTCCATCGCTTTCGGGGCAGTTTCCACGCGCGCCATCCCCGATCTGGTCCCCACCGCCAGTAAGATTCCCTGCTCCGCGGAGGCGGACGCAGATGCCGAGGCTGCGACCTCCCCGCCGGTCACCCCCGGGGCCGCTCTTTCAGCCCTGTCGATGCTAAACAGCGCGGCAGCAGGAGAGGCGCCACCTGATGCCGGGACTGGGGGCATGCGACGCTTCGCTGTTCTGCGGCGAGTGAGCGCGCCGCGCGTGGCGGCGGCCGCCGCCGCGCGTGCTGCCATTGCCACTTCCTCCGTGGCCGCTGGTGGGAGTGGGCACTCACGCCAGCCGTCGCGTGCGCACAATTCTCTGATCGCCGCGCCGGAGTCCCTATCGACTGATGAGGAATGTGAGCGCCCGCCTGCGGGAGCCCGGCCATCCTCCGTGCCGAGTTCAGATGAGTCCGACTTGTCGGCCTCCGGCGGTCATGGGTCGGGTGCCGATCATTCCACCCGGCCTGGCGGCAGTGCGCCTGGCAGCAGCAGTGACAGTGACAGCAGCAGCGGCAGCTGCGATTCGGACTCGGATGATTCCTTGAACTCGGATTCCGGCTCGATCGTGGAGTTTTCCGACGGCTCGGATACCGAGTCCGGTGCCGGGCGCGGGCGCATGCCCTGGGAGCGTCACTCCGACACGCTGGAACGCATGCCCTCATTGTCGGTACTCCCGACGATGCTGCCTCATCCTGGACGCGGCGACATTGACCCTGCTGTGCTGGCGCACTACATGCAGCTGGCCATCGGCAGTGGCGGCGAGGAGGATGGCGACGGGTCGGAGAGCGATTTCGATGGGAGCATCGCCATTGGGGGTGCCGATGGCGACGCCCCAGGCAGTGACCGGGCATCCGGTACGGCTGGGCCGCCAAATGACGCCGCCATCCTCCGGCGACTGGAGGCCGCCCGCCAGGGTGACCTGCCGGAGGGCGAGCATCTCTTCTTCACGCTGGATCAATATCTTCGCCTGACGACGCATCACAATGTCCCTTGGGACCATTTTGTGTGGGATTACGAGCGTCTGACCACAACGCTGCCTCTGCGGCCGGGTGATGGCGGCGAGGCGCGAGCCTGCACCGTTTCCGGGCCATCGGATTTGCCGCCTCCTGCCCGTGCGTGTCTTACTCTCGCGTTTTCTTTTTGCCCCCGCCCCCCCC